ACATCCTTGCTCATTTTCAAAACAAACACTTTCAAAACAAACACCAAACACTTTCAAAAACAAAATTTCAAAATATGAAATATTTTCAAAAGTCCAACACTTTGTATACGTTCTTACGAACGAGAACTATTACAAAGTTTGCCTAAACGAAGGCGCCTTTTCAAAATAATTTCAAAAAACACCACAAAGCATATTTTCAAACAAAAACAAGTGATCTAGCAAGCAACTAAGATACCATAGATAACTATGGATGAAAAGGGTGCTAACACCTTCCCTTTTCATAATCTACCCCCCGAAATCAAGAAATAATCTCAAAGGTCTTTCCTGTTCTTTTCCACCTTTCCTTTTGGATAAAAGAAAAGTCGGTGGTGACTCTTGCTAACCGCAACATTTGCGATCAAACGCAAAACATCTCAAGTCATTTCTCCCATCGTATTACAACAAGGTTCTGTGTGACAAGTTCTGAAGACTCCAAGACTTAGGTTTTAAGACTTAAAGAGTGAATCTTCTACAACAAGCTTCAACATTCAACATTCAAATATCTGAAGCCTCTGATGATAAGAAGAAAGTTCGAATGGTTAACGTGTTATGTTATACAAAAAGTACATAAAGTGTATGTGACCTCTACACTCTAGGGTGGCGTAAGAACATACCTTTATATTGTATTGTCAACCACTCTCATTGTGACCGTTGAGAACAAATAACTGGATTTACAACTATCTTTCTTTACTTAACGAATATCTGTTTACAAAGCTTAATAGAAAAACATTATTCAGAGAAAAGGTGGAAAACTATCACTAAACAAAGACAGGATACAAAAATATTATTTTATACTATCTAAACTCTTACACCTTATTCTATCTATTGGGAACTAATCGTTGGTGCAGGAAAAGTCCTTTCTATCCTCATAACGTCTCTCTCAGTCAAAGGCTATAAAAGAAGATTGAAGATTCAAAGAAAGTTATCGTTGGCCATCAAGCTTCATCCTGTGAAAGGAAAGCAGTGGATGCTAAAGATGTTAAAGTTGCAATGCTACACATTCTGAAGACAACAAAAGAAGAGAGAAAAGAAATAAAGAATATTTCATCAAGATGTTAAACAACTATCATCGTATACATATTTATTGAAACAGAAGAAGCAATGAGTTGTTGCTCGTAGCTTGTTCGAAGAAGAAGAAGATTCTACAAGATGTTATTCAACTTCCAATCACATACATCTTGGTAGATCTCAAAAGAAGCAAGGAGTTGTTGCTCGGAACTTTCTCAACAAGAAGATGAAGAAGAACACTACAATATGCTACTTAACTTCTGATCATATACATCTTTGTAGAACATTGTAATGACCACTAGAGTTGTTGCTCGTATAGTATTTATGTTCAAATATCTTTATGTAAATGGTTTTAACACTTGAGTTGTTGCTCAAAGAAGTGTTAAACAATATGTGCTTAAAACACTTATCTAATCTGCTTAGAAAAAAATTCGTGTAAACACAAGATCACGATAAACTGTTGTTGATTTATTCCTTGGGAGACTTGGTGAAAGTCGAATCTCAAGAAGATAATGGTTGCGGTCATTATAGGAAATCATGATAGGAGATCTTATGGGACCGAATTCCGTTAAGTCAATAGTAGTCATATCTCAAAGGGGACAGAGTGAAGGTCAGACTCTTGTGAGATCACTGATGGATATCATTGTAAGGAAGTCCTGGTAGAATATCTTGAGAGATCATATTCTATTGGACCAGTGAATGTTATATCCGGTTGGATCACTAAATCTGTCATTTTGTGTTGGTCACCGGCGGTTGCCCGTGCACTTTTAATCAGTTTGGTTATAGTGGATTAAATCTTTGGATAAGGTGAAATCATCATTACGGGGGTGGACAAGAATAACCTAGTTAACGACGAACTTGGAAAAAATACTTGTGTCCTTTTCTTTTTATTATCTTTATAGATATTATCTTTTAAGTGCTTAGAATTTCTAAAGGGGAATGATTTCTATTAACACAATTCAAACCCCCGGTTTCTTGTGTTTTCTCTACCTTCATTTGACCCCTGCAATTTATATAGTTTATTTGCTACAACGAGCGATAAATAACATTTTCTCAAAGTGGAAATAACCTTAGGTTTTCATGAGGTTGTATTAGGTTGTTTTATTCACGAGAATGTCACGTTTAGATGTACGTGTTTTACTGGTAAGATGTCGGACTGGTTAGATGTGGTCATAATATAAACGTGTTTATGCAAATAATGCATTAGGCCAGCTTGATGTGGCTAACCTTTAAACTATGCTTCTAACTTCGAAATTTTGATCCAACTTGGAACGGTTATATGTTGAATTCGTAATTATGAGGCATGATCCCAACTTAGCGTGTTTATGCTTTGAACTACATTTGTAATGATTTCACAAGGAACCAGAAAGGTGCGATTATGCTTTGAATCATATTCATATGAATGAAACATGAGACCATCTAGATGTGGCTATGCTTTAAATCATACTCAGTGGTAAAGGGGCATTGTAGGATTCAAACCCATGTCCTTTCAATTATTTGACAACGGTTGTCTCCTTTCACCGTAGTTATAAGTAACACGTTATCTAATTTATAACAACGGTCACATGCTTATTGTGATAACCAACATAGATACAATCACACGCTACTTAACAACAAATGTGTTACAGTCATTATATGTGTTTCGCAATTGTCATTATATGTGTTTTCTGTAGTAGTGACACACACATATATGTGTGTAGGAATGTCTTGAAAATTTACACTGACATTTACTATGTTTTCTCCATCTATTTTTAAATCTCTTAAAAATTTGCTCATGACCTTTATTACGTTTTGACAAAATAGAAAAGTAAATTTTGTTGTCTAATCGATTAGAGCTTATATCTAATTGATTAAGGAATGAGCTTGCCTCGTAATTAATTAAAAACCATATTAATCGAATAAAAAGTGCTATAGTATTAAGTATTTCCTTTTTTTGCTAGGTCTAGTCGAATAATGTCGTAGGAATGTTTCCTTTTTTGGCCAATTTTTTTACAATATAAAAGTCATGTGTTCATTTTCAAAAGCACACATTTTTTATTTAGTACACTTCTTTCTCACTTGCTCTCGTATCATACCGTTATTGGTGAGAAAGCAAAAAATATATAACGTGAGTTGTGTAATTTTATTGTTATACCAACATTGTAATTTAAGAGTATAGTTTTCTTGCATCTTCGTAATTGACTTTGAGGTTGCAAAACAAACTTGATAAAAAGCTTAGTGTAATGAAGATGGTTAAGTTGATTCTTGTGTAAAAGCTCAAGATGTTTTAATGGAAATCTCAAAAGAAAAATTCTTTAGGAATGAATTAAGCCACATAGTTTAAGACTAAACTAATATAAATTCATGATGAGATCTCTCTATATTTTTTACTTATCATTTGTTTTTGAAGTCATTTAGTCAATAATATCTCGAATTATTCCGATTTAAACTTTTTATTTTATATGTTATCTTCTCTCTCTTTTTTCTTTCTTTTTTTTATTTAAACAACTTTTATTTCATTGGTTTTTATTATTTCACCTCCTCTAAAGATCATTTAAATTTATTTATTTTTTTAAAACTGTGATAGAAATTGCATGTATTTTTTCAATAAAAAATAAATAGTAATGAAGATACTCCTTTTAATTTTTCTTTCAAAAAATCACATTGAATTTAATTCAAATTAAAATTTGAATAAGTTAAATTTGATTTAATGGCAATTCAAATTTGGGTCTATGTTTATAAGTCAATAAAAGTTTTGTGTCGATTTATTTAATTTAAAACTTTTACAAAAGCATAACAGATTAAAATTATTTAAATTTTAAACCTGGTGAATAATTTTGTGAATAAATTAGAATAGAAGATTAATTAAGTCTAATATATACAATTTTTAGTAATAAACAACTCTATTTTAGTTTACAAACAAGTGTCGTCATATATATATATATATATATATATATATATATATATATATATATATATATATATATATATATATATATATATATATATATATATATATATATATATATATATATATATATATATATATATATATATATATATATATATATATATATATATATATATATATATATATATATATATATATATATATATATATATATATATATTGCTTTTAAATTTCAAATAAAGTTTAATATTTAAATCATTTCTGCCTAATCGTAATTTAAAGTTAGTTATAACAATTGTGAATAAAATTAAAATTAAGATTTGTTAAAGTAACAAAAATATGCATAGCCGTCTTAGCTCAGCTGGTAGAGCGCGTGGCTTTTAACCACGTGGTCGTGGGTTCGATTCCCACAGACGGCGAAATATCTTTTTCATTAAAACCCTTTGATTTCGTTGTTCTGAACAGACTCCGTTCTCTCTAAATTTCGTTGCATACACTGTTTTGTTACTTCAAACATTACTATTTATTTTTGAATAGTTGTATAACCCTGCAATGTACCGAAATCTAAATAATAAATTTAAAATTACAATATCATATATAACAGTTTTATCTTTAGATAACGTGACATTGAAATAAATGGAGTATTACTCATAAATTTAATTATGGTGTGTGACAACTTAGAAAATCCTTACCTTTATCATTTTAGTATTTTATTTTTACATTATGCGAAAATAAAATAATTACTCATTTAACATTTGTGTTTATATACTATAACTCAATTAATTTTATTTCAAAGACAACAATTTCAAGTGAAAGAAGGTCTGACTTCTATTTAACCTAAAAACACGGTTAATCACAGTTTGGACTACAACCACCATGATTCAAGAGAGGTCAAGATATAGAGATACATAATGGACTGAAGTATCGAGGAGGAAAAAACACCAGGTAGGCAAAAAGACGGCTTGGAACACGACCAAAGGAAAAAACAAAGGCAAAGCTGAAACAATGGTTACCACAACTTTTTTTCTTTACAGAGATCCCATAAGAGCTTGGTGCTAAAGAGATGTATACCATCTTCAAGGAGTCTGGTGATATTGATGAAGTTATCATTTCACAAGAAGAGATAAATGTGGAAAACGCTTTGGTTTCACAAGGTTTTTCAACGTTATGGATGAAAGGTTGATGGCTACAAAGATAGACAACATTATCATAGGTTCGAGAAAGATACATGCAAATCTCCCAAGATTCAACAGGGAGTTCACCATCAGGGAGACCACGGGAGTCAGAGTTCAAGGGAAGCATATGAATCGACGGGATCCAGGGCATGAGGGAGATGGAGTTGAGAATATGCAGAACAAAAAGATATGTGTCAATGGTTACAATGCACGTTGGGAACAAGGTCGAAACAATAACAAATTGTATGCCCAAATGGTTAGTGATAATCATATAAATAAACAGGTGATGGATAGATCGTCACATGCTAAGAAGATTTTGTTCGCTCATCTGAAAGAGAGGTGGAGAATTCAGGGCCAACCTACAATATGCAAGAGTATTTCAATATGGAAGGCTACTTTGGGGTGAAAGTCACACCATTGGGCTCAAACTTGTATTTGTTAGAAGAAAGAGAGGATGGTGAACTGAAGGCGCTAATAAAGGAAGCTTCAGATTGGATTAATCAATGGTTTGTAGAAATAAGACCGTGGAGTCCAAAGGAGGTTGATAATGAAAGGCTTACATGGTTAAGAGTATTTGGGCTACCCTGTCATGCTTGGCATGCTAAAGTCTTTGATTTCATGTCCAAATCGGTTGGGGTGTTCATATGTGTTGATGAAGAAACCACCAAGCATAAGACTATGGATGTCGCCAGGATTCTTATTAGAACAAAATATTGTATGGTGTTGAATGAAACTTACAATATTTCGATCAATGAAAATATTTTCAGAATCAAAGTGGTTGAGGATACACATGATCCTATGTGTATACCTTTGAATCACCTTGGGAATAATCACAACAACAGCAATGGCTCCGCGGAAAGTTCTGACGAGGATAATGGATGTTGGGAGTAACAATTTTCTGAGGAGGAGAACATGAAGTCTTTTGAAGAAGTGAAAAACACAAGAAGGGGGGTTGAATTGTAAAAACTGGAAATTAATTGCAATGAACACGGTATTTTTATCCTGGTTCGTTTGATCTCAAACTACTCCAGTTCACCCGTCAAGGTGATTTCGCCTCTCTCCAACGAGGTCTTAATCCACTATATTCAACTGAATATTACAATCTGCTTTAACAACTGCTAAAGCCTTCTTGATGCAAACCACAAACCGGTTTCTCAAGGAAATACTTTCTTACAAAGAATTGAAATCTAGGTGTGTGAATGTTTTCTACAAAACTGTTTATCACAACTGTGATACTACACAAATTAAGCTTAAGAGAACTAGAGTGCTAAAATAATTGAGTAAGGAATTTGATAGCTTTTAGAAAACTGAGAGTGAGGAAGATGATGAATAGCTTTTAGGCGTGTAGATTGTTGTAGAGCATTAGCCAATTCAATCTTCATTGACTTGTTTATATAGCATTGGAAATAGTGTACGTTGGAGTAATAATTCTGTTTCAATGCCAATAACATTCTTTCCTTATTAAGCAGATCTTGTCTGGAATGATGCCGTTGGTAATAAATCATCTTGAATGCACAGTACCATTGCCACTTAAGCGTGTACTGGCTTTGGCTCATTCTGATGCTGCTTAGGTGCTGATGAACTGTTGTTGTCTTTATCAGAGTTCAGAGTGTTGAGCGCAGATCTGTTCATCAAGCTTCAGCATAAGCGCAAGTTGATCTTCTGATTCTGGTATCTGATATAACATCTTCTGATGCTGATGTTGATATCCAATTTTCTGATGTTGATGAGGATGTTCTCATGCTGATACCCATCAGAGTTTCTGTAAAACAGAATGTAATTTTTAAATAGCATATGTGTCTTACATGAATCATACAATTAATGTATCTTAGCATTTTGTTATCATCAAAACTTAAACTTAGGGTAGTAGATTCAAACTTTGTTCTAACAATCTCCCCCTTTTTGATGATGACAAAAACTAGATATTTTTTAATTGAAAATAAGCGTGAAAAGTATCAGAGATAATTGAATAATAAGTTGTATCAGAATTAAATAGGAAGTTATCAAAGATAAGGGATAAAGAGATATCAGAGTTTAGATCGAAGATACTCCCCCTGAATTTATTACTTCCCTTTTTAATTCCAAGAGTTCTTCAGGATCAGATCTTTATTGACTTTCTTTGAACATCAGAATATCAGAGCTTCAGACCAGAATATCAGAGCTTCGAGCTTCAGTGTATCAGAGGTGATTAACTTCTTGTACCTGTAGACTTATGCAAAAACAGAAAACATTCAAGTATATCAGAGTGTTAGAATGTTTGAGACTTTTTGTCTCAGTAATCCGTTATTGAAAAATATCATTCTTGTTCTCCCCCTTTTTGTCAGCAATCAAAAAGTGTAAGTAATATAAACTAAAACGATCAGAGCAGAAAAACTTGTTATATTAAATTCAGAGCCAGACAAACAGTACAGATGATATGCAAAGAAAACAATTAAAATATCATGAATGAAAAACTAAGGTTGGGGTGGAAAGCGTGTGAACAGAGTCTCCAGCATTGTCTTAATTTGATCAGCAATCTCATTTTGCTTGTGCACCATGCTGACTACTGTATCTATCTTGCTATCTTGCACATCCATCCTTTCCTTCATCTTCTGATCATTTTCATCCATTCTTTACTGCAGACGAATATCATTCAGCCTCAGTTCTTCCAGAGTCTGCATGTCCAAGGCAGCTTGAGAAACGTCAGAAGCAGGAAGCTTCTGAGAGCTTTCTGCAACATCTTCATCTTGACTGACCTCTTCAGCTTGAATAGTCTGATCTTCTGCTTGCTGAACTTTTGAAGCTGGACGCTTCTCAGACCATGGCTCACTATCCAGAAGGAGCACTTCTTCCTTCAGCAGCTGACATCCAACTTCCTTCAGCAGCTGTTGTAGGATTGCTAGCAGTGCTCCTTTCAGATGTTGAAGGAGTGTCTTGGTTGAGAGCTTCTGATGACTTGTCTTCTGAACTTGTAAATTCAACTTCCATACCTGCAAAAACTTCATTCTGCTTTGACTTTTCAGAGTCAAGCTTATCATCAAAACGAACATTGATTGATTCTTCCACAATCTGTGTTTCTGTATTGTATACTCTGTACCCTCTTGAGCGTTCAGAGTATCCTAACATAATACACTTCTGTGCTTTAGAGTCAAACTTGTTCAAATAATTATTTGTATTTAACATAAAACAAGTACATCCAAATGGATGAAAATATGAAATGTTGGGCTTTCTGTTCTTCCACAATTCATATGGAGTCTTTTCCAGAATAGGTCTTATTGAGATTCTATTCTGAATGTAGCACGCTGTGTTTATTGCCTCTGCCCATAAGATCTTAGCAACGTTTGTCTCATTGATCATGGTTCTGGCCATTTCTTGCAATGTTCTGTTCTTTCGTTCTACAACTCCATTTTGTTGGGGAGTTCTAGGATAAGAGAAATCATGCAGAATGCCTCTGTCATTAAAGAATGACTCAAAATCTTTGTTTTCAAACTCTCCACCATGATCACTTCTGACTTTAACAATTCTAAGATCCTTTTCATTCTGAACTTGGTTACAGAAGGTAACAAACACAGAGTGTGACTCGTCCTTGTGTCTTAAGAACTTTACCCATGTCCATCTGCTATAGTCATCTACGATTACTAACCCATACTTCTTGCCACTGACTGAAGCAGTTTTAACTGGTCCAAATAAGTCAATGTGAAGAAGTTCTAATGGCTTAGAGGTAGAAACAACATTTTTAGATTTGAAAGAAGGTTTTGCAAACTTGCCTTTCTGACATGCTTCACATAGAGCATCTGAATTGAACTTCAAATTAGGAAGTCCTCTGACCAGATTGAGTTTGTTAATCTGAGATATTCTTCTCATACTAACATGCCCCAATCTTCTGTGCCAGATCCACTGCTCGTTGTTAACAGACAGAAGACACTTTACATTCTGACTTTTCAGTTCAGAAAGTTTGATTTTATAGATGTTGTTTTTCCTCTTTCCATTAAACAGGATAGTCCCATCTTTCTGACTAACAGCTTTACATGATTTTTGATTAAAGATTATATCATAACCGTCATGTGTCGCGAGCAGCCAGAGTCCAGGTACCATGACTGGTGTTTCTGATTTGCTGCTAAAGATATTTGCAACATGTATTATTTTATCCTTAGGTACCCAGATTTTCTTGGGTCCTGATTTGTTAGATTTACCAAAACTCTGGTTGAATTTTGGTTTCACGGAATACTTACTGCTAGTGTATTTAATATCATGTGTGTGACCATACACAAAATGTGATTTCAGAGGAGTGTGTTTAATGGTTAAATCCATGGCATTCTTTGGTGTAGGAACCTTACCTTGGTATCCTATTCCCTTCCTGCCGTTTCTGCTAACTCCATAGATCATTGAAGCCATTTTGCTTCTATCTATGCTTTTAGCAAGGAACTTCTGGAAATTGTGATCATACTCCTTGATGATCTCATCAGCGCTGCTGGGAGTTTCAGAAATTGGTTCCTTCTGAGAGTTTTGTAAAGCATTTTCTAATTTTGAAATTTTATTTTTCAGCTCAGAATTTTCCAATTTAAGACTTTCAGTCTTATCAGAGTCAGATTCAAGATTCCTTTTCAGGTTTCTGAATTTAACTCTAATCTGCTGGTACCTTTCCAGAATTTCATTAAGGCTTTCAGCAAGTTCAGCCTTAGTAAAATTAATTGCAAAGTCAGGAAATACCTCTTCAGTATCTGATTCTGAGTCTGATTCAGAAGCTTCACTATCTTCTGAAATGTTGGCCATAAGAGCTATGTTTGCTCTCTCATTATCTAATTCTGAGTCAGCTTCAGACGAGTCAGAGTCATCCCATGTAGCCATGAGACTTTTCTTCTTTTCTCTTCCAAACTTCTTTTTGGGCTTTTCCCTCTGAAGCTTTGGGCAGTCACTCTTGTAGTGTCCTTGCTCATTGCACTCATAGCATATGATGTCCTTGGTGTTTGGCTTTCTGCTTCCTGAGGAGCCTTCAGATCTTCTATATCCAGAGGAAGAATCTGTCCTTCTGTATCTGGAAGAAGACTCGTTCTGATCAGATCTTCTGGGATTCCTGAACTTCCTTTGCCTCTGCTTCCATAGTTGGTTCACTCTTCTAGAGAGGAGAGAAAGTTCGTCTTCTTCTGATGAGGATCCATCAGATGTTTCTTCAACTGCCTGTAAAACTTTAGACTCAGATTTTTTGTTAGATTTTAATGCTAAAGGCTTACCTTGCTTCTGAGGTTCATCAGCTTCTAGCTCTATCTCATGACTTCTGAGGGAGCTGATAAGTTCCTCCAGAGAAATTTTGTTGAGATCTTTTGCTAGCTTCAGAGCTGTAACCATTGGCCTCCACTGCTTTGGTAAGCTTCTGATGATCTTCTTGACGTGATCAGCAGTAGAGTATCCTTTGTCCAAAACCTTGAGACCAGCCACCAGAATTTGGAATCTTGAGAACATTGTTTCAATGGATTCACTTTCTTACATTTTGAATGCCTCATACTTCTGAATGAGCGCAAGAGCTTTAGTTTCTTTGACCTGAACGTTGCCCTCATGCGTCATTCTGAGTGAGTCAAACATGTTCTTTGTTGTGTCTCTGTTAGAGATCTTTTCATATTCAGCATAAGAGATGGCGCTGAGAAGGATGGTTCTGGCCTTGTGGTGATTTTTGAAGTCACGCTTTTGTTGGTCAGACATTGCTTTCCTATCAATCTTTTGACCGCTTGCATTCACAGGGTGCGTGTATCCATCTGTCACCATGTCCCACAGATCAGTATCATGTTCCAGAAAGAAGCTTTCAATTCTGTCTTTCCAGTAATCAAAATTTTCTCCATCAAAGACTGGAGGTTTGCCGCTGAATCTGTCTCTGTCTTCATTGTTGTCATTGCTGGTGTGTTGATAAGTTCCTGCCA